AGAGAGGGAGGAAGCAGGCTCCCTGCTCAGCAGAGAGCCCGATGTGGGGCTCGATCCCAGGACCCTGAGATCATGACCTGAGCCGAAAGCAGAGGCTTAACCCACTGAGCCACCCAAGCACCCCATAGATTGCTTCCTTTGCTGCGCATTATTTTGATTAAGTCCCAATAGTTTACTTTTGCTTTTGTTTCCCTTGCCTCAAGAGACATACCTAGAAACAAGCTGGTATAGCCCAAGTCAAAGGTTACAACTTGTGTTCTCCTCTAGGGTTTTGATGGTTTCATCACATTTAGGTCTTTTATGCTATTTTGTACATTTCTGTATGGTCTAAGAAAGTGATCCAATTTCGTTTCTGCATGCTGCTGTCCAGTTTCCTCATTCCATTTGTTGAAGAATCTTTTTCTCACTGGATATTCTTTCCTGCTTTGTCAAAGATTAGTTGAAAATATAATTGTCACCTCAGTTCTAGGTTTTCTATTCTGTTCCATTAATCTGTCGATTTTTGTGCCAGTTCCGTGCTGTTATTATCACTATAGCTTTGTGATATGACTTGAAGTTCAGAATCGTGATGTCTCCAGTTTTGCTTTTCTTTTTCAAAGTTGCTTTGGCTATTCAGGGTCTTTTGTGATTCCAAACAAATTTTAAGACTGTTGGAAAATTCTAGTTCTGTGAAAAATGCTGTTGGTATTTTCTGTTTTCAATAATAACTTAGAAAAGTAAAGATTTACCCACATGGTTGCTTAGCCTGTTCTATTATCTTTCCTCATGTTCCAAGGTTCCTTCTTTTATTGTTTCCTTTCTGTTTAGAGAACTTCCTTTAGCCATTTATTTGGGATAGGTCTAGTGACTCAAATTATCTTAGTTTTCTCTCATCTGATAATTTTTCAATTTCTCCTTAATTCCTGAAGTATGTATTTTTTCTGGATATAGGATTCTGGACAGTTCTTCCCCCCTGCACCCCACCCCAACACTCAAAATTATTGTGTTATTTCCTTCTTGCCTTCATGGTTTCTAATGAGAAATAAACTATATTTAAGATTAATTTTCTGCTATAGGACTTGATTATGTCCTGTGTCTTCAAGATTTTTCTTTGTCTTTAGTTTTCAGAAGTTTAACTGTGATACGTCTTGGCAATTCCATGCCAAGACTCCATGTTTGGAGTCCACTCAATTTCTTGAATCTATAGGTTTATGCCTTTTATCAAAATTGGGAACTTTGTAGCTATTATTTCTTCAAGTTCTTCTTCACGGCTGTCTTCTTTTTCTTCTTTTTTTCCAAGACTCTGATGACACATAAATGTCACCCATATTGTTACAGACTAAGAGATCCCTGAAGTCCTGTTTTCTTTTTATATTATTTGTGTGTGTGTGTGTGTGTGTGTGCATGCATATGCCTATTATCTCTGCATTGTTTAAATTGGACATTTTTGTAATGTCTCCTTTTTCCAGGTCACTAATTCTTTCCTCTGTCCTCTCCATTCTGCCACTGAGCCCAGATACTGAGTTTTTCAGTTGGTTATTGTAGTTTTTCAGTTCTAATACTCCTTTTGGGTTTTTGTTTGTTGTTGTTGTTTTTTTTTTCTGTCTCTTTTCTTTGTTTAGATTTTCTATTTATTTGATAAAATTCTGTACTTTTTAATGTGTCTCAAGAGTGCTTGTAATTATTTATTTAAAACATTTTTATGATGGTTGTTAAAAATCTTCAGTAATTCTAATATCTCTCTCATCTCAGTGTTGGAATCTACTGGTCATCTTTTTTTCATTTAGTTTAACATATTCCTGTTTCTTGATATGATGAGTGACTTTTAACCAAGTCTTGGGTATTTTTGATATTATAAGACTCTAGAAATTATTTAAGCTTTGTATTTTAGTGGCTTACTCAGATACCATTCCAGTAGGAGAATGGGAATGGAGATCACTACCTCATTACAGCCTGGTGGGGTAGAGGTTCAGCTTCTGCATTTGGCTTCTCTTCATTACTTCTTGGCAGGACTGGATACTCTAGTTCCCCATGTGATCCTCACTGTCACCACGGAGGGAGGGAGTTCACAAATACAACATGAAACTATTTACAACATAGTGAATTTCAGTCTTGTGACATACTATGATTGGTTTTTATCTATCTATCAAACATTCAACAATTTCACAGAAGTACTAAAAAAAGATACAATGAGTAGATAAGACGAAGGCCCCAATAAGAGTGGATGGGCTCTGGAACCAGTCACAATTACAAAAGTAATACAGCATGATGAAAACCAACGTTACAATGGGAATCTAAGATCTTACATTTTAATCCTGACTCTGTTACTACCCAGCTTTGTAAATTGCTAAACTCACTCAACTTCTCTGGCCTTGGTTTTGTAAAGAGGAAAGAGTTTTGCCAATTGGGCTATTATTTATTTTTCTGTTTTAATCTTCCATGATTAGCTAGTTAAAATGATAATTAAAGAGGATGGCACGTCAAAAGTTCAACATACATATCAGATCAATTTTGTAAATATAGTCATTATTATAATTAGTGCAAATAAAACCTTGAGGTGAAATGATATAATGAAATTTTGAAGAAACATAGCCTCTTTGAGCTCACAAAAGTCATGCACACTTATAGCTGAAGAAGTAACTTGGACTTCTTTTCAAAGCCCAGAATTCCATCTACCTGTAGCAGAATCACTCGGTGAACTTGCTAAATACAGATTTCCTGAGATCAAGCCTCAATCAATATGAACTTATTTTCTGAAGTGAAAACCAAAGAGCCCTCTTTATGAATATTATATACACTAATAGTTATGAGCCACTGCTTTAGGCTCCAAGAAATTATCTTCAACACTCAAGAAAAAAAAGTTAGTATGTTATATCCAAAGAGAATAATGGGTCAAGGAATTTAAATTCTTGAAATCAAATATAAACAATTATGATTAGGGTGAAATAGAGTTTATACTTTTGAAATAATATAACTACGCAGTTACTCTGGCAAGCTTATGTTTTAAATAATCCAATAAATTTGGATGGAGATCAAATAAAAACACGTGACACACAACTGTAAGAAGGCTAACATTTATAATGAATTCTAATTATGAGTATTTCAAAGGACCCCAAGGCCATTTATTTCTATGTGTAAAGCAAGAAAGAAGGACAACTGAGTTTACTTCCTGGTATAAGTGGTAAAAGGTTATTATATCTTACACATAGAAGATATTCAACAAATATCAACTTTCATCTTCTCAACCACAGAGAGAAAAACATCTGCAAATGATCATGGTAAAGAAACACTTGGAATATCTAGTATAACCCACTCACTCAATATGATAAATTTCAAAAACAACTTGAACTTTATATAAAATGCCTTATGGGGGCACCTGGGTGGTTCAGTCAGTTAAGCATCTGCCTTCAGCTCAGGTCATGATCCCAGGGTCCTGGGATAGAGCCCTGTATCCCGGCTTCCTGCTCAGTGGGGAGTCTGCTTCCCCTTCTCCTTCTGCCCCTCCCCCACTCCTGCTCTCTTGTTCACTCACTCTCTCTCAAATAAATAAAATCCTTAAAACAATAAGCAAACCAACAAACAAGCAAAGGCCGTACTATACCTGTAATATTGTCATACGGGTGAGCATATTTTTCTGATGAGATGTTTCATAATCATCAAATCCTCAAGAAAGTACTATGATGCCAAGAGCTTAGCACATTAGTTTACATTCTTAGAGCATTATAGCTTAAAAGATACATATAATAACTTACTCTACCTTTTGTAACTTTTTCTATATGGTCCTTTTTCTATAAGGAAAAATTCATTGAGTATCTTTTGTCCACTTAATGCAGGAGCTGCATGGACAAATAAAAAGGTATTTGCTTTCAAGAAGCTCACATACTGGGGCGCCTGGCTGGCTCAGTCAGTGAAGCGTCCAACTCTTGGTTTGGGTTCAGGTCAGGATCTCAGGTGGCCAGATCAAGCCCCGTGTCAGTCTCCATGCTTACGGCAGAGTCTCTTCTCTCCCCCTCCTTCTCTTTCTGCTCGCTCCCCCTCTCACCCCCAGCTCATGCACTCTCTCTCTCTAAAATAAATAAATAAATCTTTATTTAAAAAAAAAAAAGAAGCTCACATACTGGAACCAGAGGAATAAATCACGTGAGAGTGATAATAACATTAATTCTTTGCTATTTTTGATAGCAGAAAAATAAGAAAATAAGTGAATTAAGTTCCTTCGCCTGTCTAAGCCAGTGATGTTGCCGAGGTTAGATGCTCTTCCTTCATTAAGTCATTAATGGGTGCAATGTGTGTTTGGAATTTGTATCTTATGTTTTATAATAGGATGTCAGACTAGATTATGATTCACATTAGCTTATGCTTATTATAATCAAGATGTATGGTTTTCTGAAGATTCCAGATGATTAAAAGCACTATTACAGGACTTAACTTTAGGATTCCCTAACTGATCTTACTTGCTGAGAACGGGAGGTTACATTTGCAAGCTAACACACATGCATGCAGGCAACATTCATGCACATACAATTCTATTACCTTTCATTATATTAAGTTTTCTGAATAATGAAAATCAAGAACCAGCTTTTCAAAGTATTGGAGATTTTTTAAAGGAGCCATACAGATTTTACTTCCTGGAGTTTAAAATATTTATTTTTATCATATCCATCACATTCTAGAAAAAAAGAAACACTCTGCTCACCATTACTCTTTGCATCACGTGCCTATTGCTAAGTCACAGTTGAGATTAAAATTACAAATACATGATGATAAAAGAAATAAATGCATAGCATAAGCAGGCATGACGTTCTACGGAAAGAAATTTGCATGCAAGCTTGTGCCCATGAACATGAGAATTCAGTTAGGGATGAAACCTGAAGCACATTCTCATGACAGGATGAATCTATTAGTGTAGTTAAGTATTTGCAGACCTTATTCATTTCCAAATACTTTACTAATGCCGGAAACAAGACAATTCCTGGCTTGTAAAACAGAACAAACCACCCTAAAACATCTGGCATACTTACACACTTTTCGCTGTCAAATACATAGCACAAATGTTTATTTGACTCAGAATCTTTGCATATGAAAGTGAATATCCTCTTGTCAGTTTTGTCATCTGCACAAAATGATATTCTATGAAGCTGGCAATTGTGTTGGACTTCCTGCGAACACAAACGGAAATAGACAGTTGAGATTTTTGCCCACTTTCTGAAATACCAGCTTGTGTTCATAACATACAACTCATGACTTTAAAAGTGAAACAATCATATGTCGAAGTTCGGTTTATAATCACATACACCCAAACTTAAACAAACACGTGCAGGAGACGGGCCTCCTGATTCAGACTAAACTCCGGTGGATCTCAGCGGGACTTAGAGAAACACAAGCAGGATATGGAAGGGTCAGAGGTGCGTGCACTTTCTGATTGCAAGGGACCGTGAGAGACTACTTTAAACTCTGAAATTCCACTTAGAAGAACACCGAGGCCCCGAGAATTAAGATGCTTCCACAAGATTACAGAATTAGCAGAACTCTTTTTTACCAGAACATTTTCATTTTACCTTACTTCTCCTCACTAACAGTACAGTTTAAAACATAAATTCTTCTGCACATGATTTCCTATGAAACACACCACCATTTCAACCTTAGTTTTCACATCAAATCGTATTTTACATGTCCTCATGAGGAAGGTCTACATATCAAGCATCTTAATTACTGAATCAACCCTACTAATCAGAAATATATATACAGTTACAGTTCTGTATTTTTCATATATGCACATACATATTTTATATATATAAATATATATATTTAATATATATATATTATATATAACAGACATATAATATATACATTCTAACATCTGTCCAAGTTCAGGGTTTGATACGTCCGCTTTGATGAGATCTGATCTTTCACTCTGATTCTCATTACTGCTCATCGGACTGAAAATGAGCAAATAAGATATAGAAATAGATGTTAAGAGAATTTGTTTATAGCACTGTATTTTTTCCCTGCATACAAACCAAATGGTAAGTCATCAAAGGCAAGCATGAAAATTAGAATGAGGAAGCGCACTATACGAATGTAACATTTCTGTCATCACTGGATAGCTTGATGCATCCATTTCGACAGCAGGAAGGAACAATGCCAAAAAGAGGGGCTCAACTCACCACAGCATCTGATGAGGATGTCTTCCCTTTCTTGGGGTTAGTGCTAAGATGGACAATGGCCATATCTGTCTGAGACTGTCCTTCTATACTTTTTCTGATTGGCCAGTCTTTTTTTTGCTGACCTATTTTTTATTTTAGTGTTAATACTGTCAATCAAACAATACTGAGCCACCCTGCAGCTTCCAAATATTGAGAGCAGGCACACACCAGTTTGTAAATAGTATCCTCATGTTAATGATAATATAGAGGAAATATCATGACTATGTAACAGAGAAAAACGACTGATTTTTTTTTTTTTTCTACTTGTAGGAGAAACTACAAGTAACATGAAAACACACCATTCACATAGGCTGGTGGTAAAGCATCCACAGGCCCTGTTCACTTACCACCCCGTATGGTCACAGAAAGCCTTTAGTAATGCCAGTCGGGAATCGTTTTAACTTTTTGTTTAGATTGACAGAGCTATCTTCTGACAAAAGAATACTAGGAAGCTAAAACTTGTAATTTTATTTTTTTTGTGAATTTTTTGTTATTGTGATAAATCTTTGTGAATTTTAAATGTAGCCCTAATTTTTGATGAGACTGGACAGACTTGGGAACACAGTCAAGCACAGTGAAAACACAATTACACTTTAACACTGACCATATTTTATTGGAGTCAGAACAAAGAATAAGGAAATCCCCATTTCACTCACACCACCTCTTTCCACCACTGCATGATCTTCGTTTGAAGGATTAGTGAGAAAAGAAGAAAGGGAAAACACACAGAAACAGACTGGAGCCCACTGAGATGGCTTTTCTCTTCTCTCTTCATTCAACCACATGGCATAGAAAAATAGTCTATTTTCTATGAAGTCCATTTTAGATTAATAAAGAATTTTTAACTCCTACCTCATACATGTACAAAATTTAATATAAATAAATTTATTTAACGAGCATGATATTTTTTTCGCTACAACTAAATAAAATAATCCGAAGCAGAAAGAACAGCAGACCTTGCTCTGATTCATGTAGGTCTCCCCAAACGACACTTCCTACACTCGTGTCTGAGAACAGGCTGTATCAGAGTTACATGGGGTGGTGCTAGGTTTGTTTTTATGATATACAGGCGAAGTCTTTTCAGCAGATTCTGAACCTGAAAGTCCTGAGTGGATTCTAGCAACCAGGACTCCCAGGAATCTCCTCGGGGTCCTGATGCTCAGTGGAGCTGGTAAAACCTTTTTTAGGTTATTTTCTTTTAGTGGATCCAAAAAATGGTACGTTCTATGTATAGATGAAGAGTTCAGATTCTCTATGTTCATATGTAATATATGGGTAAAGAGTCAGTTGCTCTCTCTTCAAATGCAATATTATTGAATTTATAAGATATTTCCAAGATTTTAAAACTCCAAGATTGCTTTGATTTGGTAGGGATGAAAAAAGAGATTTTTTTTTTCCCTATTAAAAGCTTGGGAAAACTTATACGTTTTTAGGGAAAAATTCAATTGGGTCTCTTAATAATTAGCTATTAAGTCTAGGAAATTGAGACCTGGGGACAGGGAGGGAAAGCTTTTGTGTCAGTGATTTGAGTAAGGCAAAATATAATGCTCAAAACTCAATCGGTTAATCATACTGAGTTGAATCCCACTGCACTGATGTTTGATAAATGAGATTTAGGATGGGGGAGGAAGTTACATCTGACAGTCCAAGTTTAGAGAACAGAGTGATACGGTTGACAGCTGTCAGTGCACAACTCACTAATACGGGGGACTTGTTACCAGGACTTCAGAATCACCAGCTGATGACACTGAGCTGCATTTGCATTCCCATGATCCACCTCTCTGTCTCCTTCTCTCACACGCGTGCACACACACGCACACACACAGACCCCACATATTAGCATTGGTCATCTTGTAGAATTAAGTCTTTATATTTTATGCTCTTCCAGGGATCTGTCATTATTAACTGTCAAGTGTAAACACGAATGAAGTTCTTTCTATACTCCGTGTTGAGCCATATTTCCATGTTGCCAACGGTCACCTTCTCACTGTGTCCTCACATGGCCTCTCCTCTGTGTTTGCACATCCCTGATGTCTTTATCAGGACCCCACCAGCTCCGGTAGATGAAGGCCTCATTAAGACCGCATGTAACCATAATTACCTTAAAAGCTCTACCTCCAAGGAGTCACATTGGGGCTTAGGGCTTCAACATAGGTATTTGGGGTAAAAACAATGAAGTCCATAACAAATCCATATTAATAAATGTGAAGCCAGAATGGGTTATACTTAAAATTTTTTTTCATTGGATTTGTAGGGGAAAAGGCTCTTAAATACAAGAACTTAAAAAGTTCATGATGTCTTATGGGGTGAATTATGTTCCCCCAAAATTCATACACGGAAGCCTTACCACCATCCCATACCTCAGAATGTGACTATATTTGAAGATAAGGTTTGAAAGCGGTGATTGCATTAAAGTAAGTTCATTAGGATGGTCCCTTGTCCAATGTGACTGGTGTCCTAATAAGAAAAGGAAACTGGATAGACACAGAGACACCAGGATGTATGTGCACAGACGACCGTGTGAAGAGGCAAGCAACAGGGCAGCCGTCGGCCAGCCGAGGAGAGGCCTCAGAGGAAACTGACACCACTGCCCTTGTTGTCTTAAGATTTCCTGCCTCCAGGACTGAGAAAGTAAATTTCTGTTTCTTTGAGCGACCATGTCTGTGGTATTATCATCACGGTGGCTCTAGCAAACTAATATGCACCGATTCCATCTACAGGTAATGAGAGGCCGTCCCGGACACTTCAACAAACAACACAGCTTTGTCTCCTCTCATACTCAGGGAACCACCCTTCACCCATCTCTTCCACAGCACACGAAGAAAAATTCCTGAAAACAAGACCAAACACTATTAAATACACTTCTATCCCCAAAACAGGCCACTTTGGAAGCACTCCCAAAAGTTGTTTTTCTCCTAAAAATTCTACAGGATCTTCAATTGTCATTAACTGAGAACTAGCCAGGTCCAGTTGGTAACCGATCTTACTTACTGAAATAGGAACATAACCTCAATTAATGGAAGTTTAGAGTGCTTGTGACACTCAAAAGGAAGACTCACCTTTGTTTTCGGTTCCAGAATTTTTACCCCATATATTGATATCTGCAGCTCAACTTTAGGGATTTTCTGGCCTTCAGATTTCTTGATATGTCTTGCAAACTACAAATGAAAAGTTATTCAGAAAACTCTAATTCTGTTTCCATGGAAAATGAACACAAAACATACATGTAATATGTATTTGGAGATTGTATTCAGTGCTAGACTTCTATTAAATAAATTATTACCCATTATAAAGTATTTTATAAACCCAAATAGCTTCAAAATATTTAGTCATCATAGTAATCTACCATTATTAGCATGAAATTCAGATACTCAGTAGCCTTTAGAAAATTTTTTAATACTTCTCTCATTATATTTAAACAATTATATTCATGCTAAGTAGTTAAGAAAATGCAAACTGTGGGAAGATAAGCAAAGATCAATTTATTTCTCTGTGTATCTTCTGTTTTTAATACCTTTAGAGAACTTACAGTTCACCAGTGCTGGATATACCATCTTTGCCATTTTTAGATGCTTACCTCATTTGGTATGTCATCCTACCCAATCAAATCAATGAATGCAAAGAGAAAGGTTACCAGATTTAAACTGAAGTTAAGAGTTGAAGTAATTATCCCAGCTAAAAGAACCAGACTCAGTCTAGCATTGTATCTTAAAAACCTAAACATTTTCCAATGCTTTCATAGTAATATTTATTGTAACTTCTTTTTTTAAAGTTTTTTGTTTCCATGTAATTAAGCTTATCAGCCTTTTCACTTTTTTTAAAGGTTTTGCTTATCTGTCAGAGAGACAGAGGGAGAGAGAGAGCACGAGCGCACCAGCAGGGAGGAGGGCAGCGGGAGAAGGAGACGCACACTCCTCACTGTGTAGGGAGCCTGACTCGGGACTTGATCCCAGAACCCTGAGATCATGACCGAGCTGAAGGCAGACGCTCGGCCAACTGAGCCACCCAGGAATCCCTTTCTTGTAACTTCTTACTGAACTGGTATGTGTATGCAAATGCTTGTTAGGTTTTGTTATAAAATAAAAAAAGAGAATCTCGACATCCATGCACTTTGTAAATGGAGTCCTGTCTCTCTCCCATCATTGCCAGATTTAGTGGTGGAAAAAATTCCAAGAGCCCAGTTAAATATGAATATTAAATGGTGACTTAAAAAAAAAAAAACCTTTTATTTTAGAATACACATCTACACTCCATACATATGTGTATACACATATAATGCATACATGCTGTTTAGTGTAAGTATGTCCCATGCAATATCTGGGACACATACTTAACACGAAGAATATTACTCATTGTTTATCTGAAGTTCAAAGTTGACCGAGTGTCCTGATTTTGGCAAGGCTGCTGGCAATGCTGCTCTGTCCCTACTTTACTTCTCTCTACCCTCCGCCACCTTTCTTTTTTAAAAAAAATGGTTGGGGGGGGGACTACGGAAAAAAAAAACAGGATTTTCTACCCCTCTTCTAGGGCCTCAAAATGTTATTCCCTACTATTGAAACATTTTTTCAGCATATGGGTCATCTCATTTGACTCAAAATAGACTACATGGGAGGCAGGGTGGGGTTTCAGTGTTCTCCTGTGAGTCGTATTTATCTGCACTGTGCATCTCTCTCTAACGTGGGACAGATGTGAGGACACATGGTATAGTCCCGTTCTAGAGCACAGAGTGGTTAAAAGCCCTTTTGTCTTTTCACGGCTCTGCACTGCCATCAGAGTGATGTAATTAATGCACACACGAATGCCTTCAAGTGTCTGCCGTGCTGTCCCGGGGAGGAGGAGAACCGGGAGGTATAACTTTTTAGCGACCTGTCTGTCCTGTTCTATGAAGGCAGGCAGCACTCATTTTGCATCCAGAAGTCTTACAGTCCACATATGAACTGGACGAAATCGTGCCAGATAATTTTTGCATGTCTTTAAGAAACATGTTTTGTTTTCAGACCTTAGAAAATTATTCCAGTTCTCTCCCAAAGAAAGTAGATTCAGTTTGCTTATTTTCCCTTCACAATCTCCTTCCTGTACCGGCATAATTAAAACAATTTGGGGGTTTTCACGTAGGAAGGCTCACAAAATAAACCAGTGGCTTCCACCTCTGTGACAGCCTCCGAGTAGAGCCACTCCCATCTCAAGCTGCAGCCCCAGGCTAAGTGGGCCTCCTGGACGCTGCTCTTTTCCAGAAACAAGACACTGAGCAGTGGCTCTTGCGGCATTTTCCACATCTGAACACAACCTCTCCTGTGACCTTTTAGTTTCCCAAAGTCTATCGCAGAACAACCACGGACATGAAACCTCACTGAGGGACTTCCCTTCCGCCAGGAAAAGAGAAGAAATCATGGAAGAAATGAAAAAAAGGAAAAAGTGGGGGCTACAGGTAGAAAAGAAAAAAAAAAAAAATAGAAGAGGAAGGAGGGAGGAAAAAGAAAACAAAAGAATGAGATAAAGAAAAAGGAATAAAATATCCAATCTAAGGGCATCTGAGACCTTTTTCTTTGCTTCTTATCAAGATGAAGTAATTGTGCTCAAAAAAGACTGACAGGTCACCCAATCCAGTACCTTGGTCATAGAACCGGCTTGTAACAGTCAGGTTGAGAATCTAGTTTTGTAGCTACCCACTAAGTAACTCTTTTCTTTTGCACAACACATTTTCTACATTAAAAAAAATAAACTTCCCAGTTTTACTTTCATGCATATCAAGGCTTATGATGGTTATTGGTTTCAACTGCTGCATGTTGTTGCAAACGACGACACCTAAGGTTATATTTGCTCAATCTGTAGGTTAAACAGAATATTCTCACTCCTGTCCATTTTTCTCCGAAATCGAAGATTACTGCATTAAGTTTGCATGCCCCCTCTAACTCAAAGCCTGACAGACCTCTTAACTGTGCTCCACAATACTTCTAATTTACAGGCTGAAGACTGCTCATCATTCTTACTTACATTATATTCTTCTGTCTCCCTATTTGCTACTTGAATGTTAATGCCTGAGGAGCCTTTTGTGAATTTCTTTCCATGTTTGCTTCAGTGGATTCATTCTTGGTAGTCTAGATAGTGATCTACCCATCAAAATTTGTATATAATAATCCAATAAAAAATATTCAAAGGGGGTAAAGCCTAAGCATCTGGAGGATATCTGGATACAACAAACAAATACACAGAAACAATCCTTGACCACCATTAAAAGATAGGGAAAAATGAAGTATTTTACTGGAAATTCATAGTTACTTAAGTATATGTCACTAGAAAGTAGAACAGCTACAGAAAATTTCTTACAGGGAGGACCACTGTGTTTCAACAGCACAATCATGCAATTTCTATTTATTTCTCAAAGGACTTTAAAACAATGAAATCTAACTATACTGCTAAGGGAATATACATTATTAGGAAAGAAAACCAATGAATTTATTACTATGAGTCAAATATTCAGAGCTACTCTTCCTCTTTGTGGTTCTTATAAATTGTTAACTTCATTAAGGATATTCCTAATAATCCTACAGGGAATCAGCTGTGTATGTATGTATGTATGTATAAATTAAATTAAGCCCTAACAATTAAATAACTGGTTATGAAGAAAAAACAGTACTATGCTACATAGAGAGAGTGAGGTCGGAAAAAAGACCAAGATTAGAGGAACTCAGCAGCAATTCCCAAAGCCTCCTTTGCTGAGGGAGCATCCCGTAATTTTAATCTAGCTGTATGGGGTGCGGGATCTCGCCTCTAACACTGGGGTCGAGGAATGCTGGGCCCCTGCTTATCTCCCAGAGAAACTAAGAAGCTTTGGACATATATGCCAATATTCATCCACATGTAAACATCACGAGCAGACTGTTTATAAAATATGTTCTGTCCTCTGACATTTGTCCTAGTTGTATTGATAAAAATAAATAAAACACTACAAAAAATGAAATTCATTACAATAATAACAATAACTTATTAACACTTAATAATTTAATATTAAATATACAGAAGTTGAGAGGGTTTTTAAATTCTTACATTTTGGAAAATTTGTTATTTTCTTAAATCTTGGGGCTAAAACAGGATTAAAAATTAGAAATGGTTGACCATGACTGAGAAACAGAAAATATATTGTTATGGCAAATATGAAATCTTAAGGTAAAAATTTTAACACTTATATTGGGGTGCCTGGGTGGCTCAGTGGGTTAAAGCCTCTGCCTTCAGCTCAGGTCATGGTCTCAGGGTACTGGGATCGAGGCCCGCATCGGGCTCTCTGCTCAGCAGGGAGCCTGCTTCTCTCTCTCTCTCAGTCTGCCTCTCTGCCTACTTGTGATCTCTCTCTCCATCAAATAAATAAATAAAAATCTTTAAAAAAGAAATTTTAACACATAAAATTATTTAAGAAAAAATTTATAAAATAAATTCTCTATAAAATAATAGAAAAGCTGTATGTAATAAAATCAAAATTTAAAAATTTTTCTTGAAAAATAATCAGGCATCATTAAACATAGGAGCATAAAAAAATACACTATTGAAAATATTCTAAGTATCCTGTCATCTTATATTAATCCTAAATTTTTAAGTTCTTATCAGAAACCAGTACCTAAAGTATTACAAAGTTTTGAAAAATGAGCAAATACAAATAAAATATTAACTTATCTGGCAAGTAAAATTAAATGCTGAAGTGTAATGGATAAAAAGGCAATCAGAATACATATATAAAATAAACAGGAAATTAAAATGGGGGATGTGTACACAAAACAGTTAATGAGCAATTTTTTTTTTTTTTTGGTAGAACCACAGCACCACCTTCTGGCCATTCCCTCATGACAACAGAATTAAAAAGGAGCCAGAGTCTACATTTCTAAAATAAATGCAAATATTCTTGAAGGCTTTGAATTGTAGCTCTGACCTCTGACACCAAGATATATATAAAATAAAATTAGATAAAAAAAACATTGTTTTATTTATTTTAGTTTATGTATCATTACCCTTAAATACACTTTCCTGATCTATAAAATTTTTGCAATCAGCAGCATAAAGATTGCTTATTAGATAAACATTTATTCTGGAAGACAGGTGAAAAACAAAAATTATCAAGTGAACATGCATTTTTTAAAAACTATACTGCATACTAACTACAAATCACATTCTTTTATTAGCGGGAATACATTCCCAAATATAAAATAACATAAGAACTGCAAAAAGTCTCCAGAAAATGTATGAAAAATAGCTACTGTTTAAAAGCACTTAATTTCAAATACCTCTACATGTCACCTGGTCATAGTGTAATTTAATCCTTTTGGTTTGGGATCTGAGTTGACGGAATAAAAACACATAAAGACATAAAGACACATTAAAGTCTAGACATAAAGACACATTAAGTATAAATACCATTTTTCTTCTATAAAAAATTCTGATTGTAGTGAAGCTGGATTTGTTGCTGAGTTTGCAATATTTTGAATATTTGAATATTTTTTGAATTTTTGAATATTTGAATATTTTGAAGAGAATATTATTCTAAATGTTCACAGTTCATAAATGTTCACAGTTCATAAACTGTGAGGTCTTTCTAATCTTCTGTTAGTACTTAAAAGTACTGATCAAACAAGGCCAAGTCTGAATTATTACCTAATGAATGAGCAATGGAAAGAAATGACTGCCCAGTTCACTTTTTTCCCAAATGGGAGAGATATCATTTTGGAAACTTTCAGCATATTTTCTTGGAAGCAGTAGTAAATGATTTACGTGTAAAGTGCATAGATAAACTTATTATCCATTTTACTTTCTTCCCCCAGAATACGCGCCAGCCCACCTAAACTGTTCTTCAGTTTAAACATCAGCAGACTCCACCTGATAAGACATTCTCAAGGCAGAGAGGCATGTTTTTCATGTTGAGGACTTTGCCAGCCAAGACCAAAGGCCTCTCCCTCTTGTGAAATAACTGGATAATCTCTAAACTAAAGAAAGTTAGAGCAGGTTTGTTTCTGGGAAAAACCGTGAGAATACAGCAAAAACCAGTGAATTATGTAAAAAAACAAAAAATGCAGTCGTTTGCTAGATTTTCTTAATGAGATAAAGATGAGAATTCTATTGAAGGAATTTTTCAATTCTTCATATCTCAGTGAGAACAGGGTCTTCTGGAATGGGGCACACTTAGAAAAATGTGCTAAGATACGTGGCATTTTACAGAGAATTTTCTCAGGAAACGTGATAATGAGTATGGATTTGCTTATTTAATGTCTCTTCTGCTCTCTTGGTCTCACCAGTCCCCATGTCTGCGCAGGGATACAGCCACATCCTCTGGGATTTGGCATTAGGACATCTTCAACACATGGTGTCGCAAAATTCTGCTTTGGAACCCACTCTAACTCCACACTTCCCGCTAGCGGACGTGATCTCCTGTTAGAGCTGCTACGCCCTCACCAGCCTCTGAGTCAGGGCATGGGTCACCCTTGTCCAAGCAAGTAAAGTCAAGCTACTGAATGCCAACCTTGGGGAACACTGCCACTTTTTGTTGTTGTTGAACAGGAGAAATTATGGACAAATAGGAAGAATGTGCCACATTAAAAAAAAAATAATCGTTTATTATTAAATGTGTTTCCCTGATCTGGTTGATATTTACTACCTTTTAATAGGACAAAGCTAGTATCTGCCACAAAGCTATTCACACTTTGAATATGCATCAACCTACTGATGACTTAAGACAGGATAAACACATGAGACTTCCATCTGGAGGCCCTCCCCTACCTTGAGTTTTCTGACAGCATCTCTCACAACTTCTGTTCCTTTAGGCTGCTCCACTTCTGTACTGCCAAGAAACTGAAAATGGCCATTTGTCAGATGCAGGCTTTACCACGTCGTACATCACTGTATCACTTTGAACTGTAACATGGCATAACCGCATACACATGGGGGGCGCCTGGGTGGTTCAGTCAGTTAAGCGTCTGCCTTCGGCTCGGGTCGTGATCCCAGGGTCCTGGGATGGACTCCCACGTCGGATTTCCTGCTCAGCAAGGAGTCTGCTTCTGCCTCTCCCTCTGCCCCTAACCACGCCCCTCGTGCTCTCTCTGTCCCTCAAATAAATAAAATCGCTAAAATAACAACGACGACAATATACACATGTAATGATAATAATCCAAACCCAAATCCTACTTAAGCAGATTTATTAATTTGTTACTTTATATTATATGAAAATGTAAATATACTACTTAACCACATAAAATTTCTATTATCCAAAGACTTCCTAAAAAACTAGTTTTCCTAAATATTTTATTTATTTATTTTTATTTATTTATTTTAATTAGGTTTTTTTTTAAAGATTTTATTTATTTATTTGACAGACAGAGATCACAAGTAGGCAGAGAGGCAGGCAGAGAGAGAGAGGAAGGGAAGCAGGTGCCCTGCTGAGCAGAAAGCCTGATGCGGGGCTCGATCCCAGGACCCCGGGATCATGACTTGAGCCAAAGGCAGCAGCTTTAACCCACTGAGCCACCCAGGCACCCCTTATTTATTTTTAAAGATTTTATTTACTCATCTGAGAAAGAGAGAGAGCGAGCATGAGTGGGTGGGAGGGGCAAAGGGAGAGGGAGAAGCAGGCTCCCGCTGAGCAGGGAGCCCAACAAGAGCTCAATCTCAGGACCCCAGGATCATAACTTGAGCCAAAGGCAGATGCTCAACCAACTGAGCCACTGAGGCAGCCCTAAGAATTTTATTTGAAAGGTTTTACAGGAAAGGAAACAAAAACTACTTTATGTTAGCAGGAAAGGAATAAAGGTGACCTCAAAATTTAAGATTTAAAATATTAATAATATATAAATTATTAATTTATCTGTAAATTCAAAGCATATAAATGATTTTTATTTGTTACTTGATTTAAATGTCACAGTATATTTTAAGATCTTAATATGCTTTAATACGTTTCATAATTTCAAATAAGCATTTTTGTTATTTTCCAATTAGGACACTCATAGAGTATGTAAGCTTTTAAAATACAAACTTTTTAAAAACTACTCCATTTAAGAGCTATAAGCTAAACAACATTAAAAAATAAAAGTTACATGGAACTACGATTTTACTAAATTTTAAAATATCCCTGAAGGTTTTTAGCTTGGATCTACCCTCACCCCCCGCCCCACAAAAGTCCAATCTCTTGAAATATGCAAGACCAGTTAGTACAGATATTTTATTCTACAAAATATTTCTCTATATATAAAACAGCAAATAATCATTAAATACAGTAAGTGTGTATAATTTCCCAGACTTTCTTGTCACACGGTGCCAATTATAACACCAATATGAGTTATGAATTCATCAATTCTTATATAAATATGTGCGTGAATGTGCATATACACTTTATATCAAATAAGTAAGCAGAATCTTATTATGTTAACTCACAGAATGCAAAGAAACAAAATTGTAATGTCAGAGTATCTTCTTACAACACACCTTATTCCTTCCTTCATTCCTGGAAAAATAACAACAAAAACAACTAAAGAAATGAGAGTTGTGGTTTTTCAGAATGGGCTCTCTGTATTACCAGCGTAAGAATTCCCTGGGGGAACAGGTGAAAATAAAACAACGCAGATGCCCTGGTCTAAAAAATCAACATCTTTTAAGGTAGGGTTAAGGCAATTGCATTTCTAAAAACATCATAGATGATTCCTTATGCGGAAGTCGGAGAAACAGAGTGAGGAAACAGTACCAGGTCAGGGGACAGCAGGGGTGGGGGGGGCACACACAAAAGCTGATCTGCAAACACAGGTGCTAACCGAGGGACCACGTTCTCGGGAGCTCACGGAGGAGAAAGGGAGGCTCGGAAGCGTTAGGGCAGAAATGTTTCAGGTCGGATTCCGTAGGCTGCAACAGCTCCTTGTTCTTATGGGCTCAAACCATCCCAAACTGCTCTGATGGCCTACCTACGGGATGGTCAGGCACGGTGTCTGCTCAGGCGTGACCTCAAGTTGGCCAACCAGGCCTTTGAAAAAGACCAAAATAGGGGGAGAAATTCTCAGCTTAAAGGGAATTGAAAACCTGCTTCTGAGATGCGGGGCACAGTCAAGTCTATTCTTGACACCAACGGACCCGTCACATCCCCTCCACTCCAGATCAGCGCATTCAGCCTCGGCTGCATGAGGAAAACCCCATGGGGGCTTTTGGCGGACCAGCGCCCACGAGTCTGATTTAACTGGTCTGGGGCACAGCCAGGGCATCCGTGCATTTTAAAGCTCCCCAGGTGACTTTAATGTGTCACCAGGTTTGAAAAGCACCATTTTAGATCCCCAGAAGGGATCAAGGGTTCAAGCGACAGGAGGAGACTTAACGTAATTGGGGCTTTCTGGTTCTGAGTTAATCCGTGGGGCAAATTCTTGCTCTCCCTGTCTCTGAACTCATCACACGGGGAGAGATTCTCCATCAGTGAGTGGTCTGGGGTTCTGAAACACAGGGAAACAAAGGCAGACTCCTTGTTGGTAAGTGACTCTCGACCTAGAAGGAAGTGTGTGATGTGTCAAGAACAGACTGTAAGAGTTACTGGAAATATTTATGGAAGAATATTCATTCTTTGGCAGAAATGCCATGAGTCATAAGTATTACATGTGAACAGGCCCCCATGGGAAAATTACAGAAGAACTCCAAGTACATTCTAAATGAATGAACCTCTTGCAGGGCTCCAGGAACCTTTTAATACGTATATATTTTTTTCACACTGGCTTTAATTAAATCATCCGAAGAACGAAACACAGAGAGAAGCCTTGAATGATGGTAGGAATTAAACAGTGCAGACATCTAATACGGAGCCTGCCACTCAACCCAGTTTTCCTAGGCAGTGTTAGAGAGCCTAAATGGAAATGATTTTGAAAGCAAAAAGTACATCATTCTTTATAATATTTCCAGTACTTTTTAAATTATAAGAGTCATCGTGCTACTTACTCATGTTAAATAAATCATACTTATATGCCTTCTGTATGTCTATGTAAAATATTTATGTAACTTAAATACGATGCAGCCAGCATAAACTCTAGACTTACAATCTGAAGATGTTAGAAAAGGCGCTTCATCTCCGATGTACTGGACTTTGAGAAATCAGGATGGCGATATTGCTCTTCTCTCCTTATAAAATTGTTCTAAAGATCAGTTACCACGAGCTTCTAACACAACTCTGGAAAGTGCTTTATCATCATGAGGACCCCATTTCTTCATCTAATGGCTGTATGGACTAGGATGGACACTGTTAGCACCTGCTCCACAGTCCTCTGAGGCATCCGCTTTATCGTCGCGGGGCCTATCCTCTAGCTTCCACGCACTTTGCTGTAAGGGCTCACACTCCAGGGCGCCTGGGGGCTCAGTCCTTAACCATCTGCCTTCAGCTCAGGTCATGATCCCAGCCAGGGTCGTGGATCCAGCCCTACATTTGGCTCCCTGCTCATCGGGGAGTCTGCCTGTCCCTCTCCTTTGTCCCTCCCCTCACTCTCTCAAATCATTAACTAAAATCTTAACAAAAAACAAAAGAGCTCACACTCCAGACCTTCAGAGGATTCCCTTAGGGTAAAGAGCCACTGACCAATACTGAGCTAGAAATGCCTGGGAGGTTTTTGCTTCCCGCCTTCTCCAGTCACGCCTTCTTTTTAGCCAATGACTAGTATGAAGTACAAACGCCCAGCTCCTCTGCGTAGACACAGAGTAAAGTCTATGATGTATTAACACTATGCCCAGGTTCACTCAGAATCAGACAGAGGTCAGGCCTTTACTTGATGCTGTTCTCATCCTCGAGTTCTTGTCGGTTCGGCCTTCCCACACTTGCTGGGTGCTCCTGGGAGCACTCCCTTAATAAATCACCAGCACCTGAATCTTTGTCTCAGGATCTTTCTCCCACAATAGGAGAAACTGACCCAAGACACCATTAAACACTTGACTGCTTACATTTGGAAATATACAGTCCAGCACACAAAGTCAGAAGCAGCAAAGGCTCTTGCTGCAAGTGCTAACAGAAGGCTTGTATGCAAATCATCTTTTTCTACTCTGCCTGGTGCCTGAAGGGTAACAGAACAAAAGGAACTCAATCAAACCACTGAATTGTTAACTAGCTGGAGAAAAAAAGGGCCACTGGAGCTCTGAAGGGCAAAACGTTCAGGCGGGCTGAGAACAGAGCTTGTCACCAAAACAAAGAAACTCAGCCAAAGTCCACACAGGGAATTTGCAGGCCGCTGGGCCCCTTTCCCATCTTGTCTCCCATCCTAGTCTTATAAGCTTCCAGGTGGGAGAATTCCTCCCTAGGGAGTGTGGCCCCAGGGGAATAAAGAGAAAATCTTGCTGATGGTTTGTGTCTCCGCAGGAAGCAGATGGCCCATCTGATCGCTCCCCAGGGACACGGAGCCAGTCAGCCTTCAGGGCCTGAGCCTTCAATATCAAAGCACCTAAGTCTGTGTCCGTATCTGCGCACGTGAAAACCGGGAGAAAAACAAAGAAACAGGAACAAATCTGGGAGGAAGCAGGGACAAAAAAGAGAGGACTAAAAATCTGAAGTCCAACAAACACATTGCCTCCAGCAGGAAAACAGGACAGCAGGGATCAGGGGCAGAATGGCCAAGTGTGAGTGTGAGTGTGCCATTGTGCCGTGAGTCATACCATTTTAAAGACGTTGGGAGGAGACCTCACTGGTAAGTTGATGTAAAAATCGATCAAAAACAATGATCCATCCAGATATCTGGGAGAAGGCAGGCCAGCCCAAGAGAACAGAAAGCTTAAAAGCCAGATATTTTATTTTATTTTATTTTATTTAGAGATTTTATTTATTTATTTGAGAGGAGAGAAGGAGCGGGCAC